AGACCCTAATAGAAAAAATCCCAAAAGATTATAACCTCCCTTGAATGACATGACATAAAATAATAATTACTGTGAAAAATAATTATTATTGTATGTTGTAAAATGCAATATTCAATATGCTCTCTCTTGGTCGTCAAACTTAATCTCATAATATTCTAATGTCTCCTTCTTTGGAAACTTAATATCTTTGTTGTTGAGTTTCTTAACATGTACACTCCTTTTATTCTTATAAGTATCACTATCTTTATCCATTGGTTTTTTAACTGTTCTAGGCTTCTCTTCATTAAGTTTATTAACTGCCTTTTCAATTAGTTCTAACTTATCTAATATCCTCTGAAACTTTGTTGCCTTTGTCTCTTTAACCTCATCATCTACATCACTCATCTTACTATATATAAGTTTTAGATTAAAACTTTTTTTTAAAGTTTTTTTTTTTTATAAAAGTGCGTTTGAATATATAGTTACAGGTTATATTTTACGATATGTTCTTTTGTATTTGTTCAAAGTTGCGGAAATCCCAGAGCCTGCACAAGGCATAGTGAGAATCCAAACCTCCATTTTCATTCCTGCGCTTGGCAGAAACGCTCTGACACAAAAAAAAAAAAAGGCCTCGGCCAGCACCTTGAGCTTTTCAGTTGCACGACATTCTGCCAGAGGCCTACCCGGCCTACCCTCCACGAATTCTGGACCAGGGACAGCCCGGTGCTTGACGGATTCTCGCCTGCACTGGAAGCCCGTTCGAAAGTTTCAGAATGTCAGCGAATGTCTGGTTATCGTTATGTCGTCGATGCCAGGGTTGTGCCACACTCTTAGTTTTGAGCGGAGAGCTTAGAATAGCGATCCGTCAGAAGGACTTTTGGTTGTGCCATTTGAAACCTGAGGGGGTGCATCACTTTATAAGGGGTTTCATTCTCGTTCTCCCCCTGCCCCCTCCTGCCCCTCGCACCCTCGGTCCCTGCTTCTCGGGCTGCACTGTCGATACTACCGATGCCATGGGGCAGCTAGCTGAGTGTCTTTCTCTACGCAGATGTGGGTCAGATACATGCATGTATGTGCATATGTGTTTATACATTATATATGCACATACATCCCCATCAACACTCAGTTCACAGTCTTATACAATAGTAACGCGCGGACACATGCATGAACATATACCGTATCCTTAGAATGCTGCTTTCCCGTGTGCATACATATGTATACGTGTCAGTCGGTGTCTGGTCTGCATATACTTGCATTGTTCATCCGTGTACTGAGCGCCAATGCATGCCCACATAAGCTCGCATCAGTCATTCCCTCCCTGCCTATGTCACTGTTCCTTTATGTCCTGTCCCCCGAAGTCGAACCGAAAGCCGTCGCAAAGAAGCAAACACCAAGCGTCAAGCAAAACACATACTCATACTTCGGTATGAGTAGCAGGACAAAGCATTAGCTTCAAATTACGCCCGAAACTCTTTGTCAAGGTGACTCTGCATACCGGCGATGGTCGGCAGGTGGAGACACAACTCTGCCTGTCAAGCGTTCCTGCCACCTTGGGCCAGGCATGCTTGAGCAACACATTTTTGGCAACTGTATGATTGGTTTGGGGTCTGTCATATACTGCGCTCAGTGCTGAAAGCTGGGAGATGCGGCATCCGTGGCATCCATTGATCTTCATATCTCCTGGTCTATGCTGCACACGGGCTTGAGGGTTAAGAAACTGTGCAGAGTCCCAGCAGGCAAGACAGCGTGGGAGAACAAACAACAAGTGCAAGACAAAAAGGTCACCAACAAGAGACGCGTGCTTATAGTCGTTTGGAGACTAACCTGCGGGCAGAGGAACCCGACAAAACAAGCCGCACACTAGCTCAACAAATTCGCGGTGTGCAGGGTGTGGTGTCAGAAAAGCATGAGGAACGGAGCATGCCGCATGCGTTGCACTGGGACGACGCGAGCAGCCAAACACAGGGAGTGCTCCCAGACGACCCCAGTAGGAGCTGGAGCGATAATCGCAGGAGTTGGTGTGACTAGATTTGCAATGCATCCTCTTTTTCCGGCGGTAAGTCTTCAGCAACCAGTAGCTGTAGCTGATACCAACGACTTCTGCCTGCACTGCTGGATTCAGGATGGTTCGTGCGGTTGCCGCGGTGATGTTCCGGTAGAAGTCTTGTTGCCGAAGCCATGCAATCCGATAAGAGTGTCCCCAGTGCCCGTGCACGGCCTAACAAAAGCAAGCACGTGGCCCGTTGCCACAAGCCCTGGACAGGCCGTCTCCCACGTAGTTGCACTGAACGAGGTGAAGGAACAGCTTCTCCGTTGCATTTCGGGCGAACATAACACCGGCAGAAGAAGGCAATAGCAAGACATGACGTTGGTGACGATAATCCAAGCTCGTCATGATAGTGGCACTGGAGTAGCTACAGTGATGATCACAGCAGTTATAGTATTCGTAAAGGCAGTGCCGAAGGGTCCCTTAGTCCTGGAAGACCGAACTGCGCCCAGGTGTGTCTCTCCAGCTCCGGGAACCGTCGATGAGATCATCCCTGAGGCAGCACAATGATATACCCAAGACCACATAGTGGGGTGTAGGGCTCGATCGTTGTTTAGATATCCTTTGACCATGTCAATTGGCCAAGGTTTAGGGTCTGAGACGTGCTGCACAAGATTTCCCCAGTGCTGCATTGCACAGGATGTAATGGTCATTGATGATCGGTCCGCTTGATTGTTGCAATCGCCGTCACCAACCATGCCACACGTTAAATTATCAACACCGCCTGTGTCAATTCGACACGAGCAGTATGTCTACCATTGATATTTTCAGGTTCCAGGTGATTGCCGATGATGTTTCCGTTTTCATGATGCTCTTGCGGATGGTCCTGACTTTTCTAGTTGTTAGATTAAGGTATATCCCGTTCTTCCAGCTGCGACAGAAACTTAACACGAGAGGGTGGTTGATCGGAATGGTGCTGCTTTACTCATAGTTGGTGAGGATGCCGCGGATATCGCAGACGAGCTGATGCCTGCGCTGGATCCTGCCGACACGGAGCTCGCACATAATTTCAGAAGCTGAGTCTTTTGAAACAAAGCGGGCTTTGCAGAGTTTGGTGAACCAAAAACTCGCAATCATACAGCGCCAGGGCTGAGGAATGGTGTCCTATTGTAGCTGTTCGGCAGGCACGGACAAGACTGCCCCTGCCGAGCCCGAGCACTCCGTTCAACATGCCCAGGCAATGTACCTGCTGCCATACCGCAACACAGCACCAAGACCCTATTCTACTAGTACCAGTAGTCACTAAACCCTAAACCCGATTCTACCAGTACCAGTAGTTACTAGGGCCGCTGTCTGGTCTCGTGGCTTGATTTAGAGGGTATACCTTTTTATGCCTTTTCAGGGTTCCTGAACGGGTGTCCTTGGTTACAGGCTCCTAAACCCCAAACACTTTATGAAACCCTCCTAGACTCCGAGGCCCTTTGTCCCCACAAAAAACGCGGAAGGACCGCTAAACGGCATCTCCTGGGTTTAGAACCCTAAACCCTAAGCCCTAAACCCTAAACCCTAAACCCTAAACCCTAAACCCTAAACCCTAATTAGGGGGTTAGAGGTTTAGGGTTTAGGTCTCCTGAAATCCTGCAGCCCAGGAGGCGACCAAGCCGGATAGCAGAGCCTTGGCCTGACCTCTCGATGGAACTGACATTTGCGGCTTTGGAGTTGGGGTTTTCGGGTTTTTAGGGGGGCTTTTAGGGAGTTTGAGGCTTTAGGGCTACTTTAGGGCTCTTGGGGTGAGGGCCTAGGACTTCAGGGTTCAAGGTTTGGGGCGTAGGCTTTGGGACAGCTCGTGCCTGATGCAGCTTGGGCAAGTGGGCTACTTGACATTTCCGGTTTCGCGAGTCTTGAAAACTAGTAAGTTTTTGTTTCGCATCCCGACGGTGGGAATTATGGTCTGCCACGACCGCGACGCCCTCCCACACCCCAAACCCTCAACCAGGTGCTGCGGGGGTCACCCTAAATGCGGAGAATTTGGCCTTCCATGCCTGGCACCGACCTCAGCTGAGCAACGAAGGAGACCCGAGCCTTCAACCTTGCTTGTGGGTCGAGTCGGTTTGGGCTTGGGGATTTAAGGTTTTAAGGTTTAGGGCCTTTAGGGTTTGGATCCCCGCCTCCTTCCTTACCGGCCTTTAGGACTGACACAAGACCCAAACTGGCAAAGCCTACAGCCGAATCCTCCGCAAGCCCGAAGGTTTCCGAAGATCCGAACGAAGCCCGGGCAACTTGAGGCAAACCTCGCCAGGTGCACAAAAGAAAGGAACTTCTTTGGGGGAGAGCTTCCAGGCACAAGCCTAGATTAGGGTCCATCTGAATCAGATTCAGATGGACGCACTGGACCGACTGCTTTGGGTCTCTCGCGAGCAGACGCTGCAGCTCATCAGAAGTACCTGCAGTACTGGAAGGCACATATACACAGGAGTGGCTATGTAAAGTTATTAGTTATTCATACTGGCAGTCGGCGAACGTGGGAGAGGTAGAAGAAGCATAAGAAGTGGATGCGACTGTGTCTCTGGGAGGTGCGGGAACCATGCCCCAAAATGCCCCCTGCCAGGCCCCTGAAATAGCTCTCGAACCAGACTCTCTTTTCAATTGGATGGTCTTTGGCAGACTAGCACAACAAGAATATCAGCAGCGAGTAGTGCTACAGCGGGAGATGCAGAGAGTAAGATGCTGAAATAAGTGATGACGATGATGGAGGATGACAACTTTCACGTGATAATGATGCTGATTCTTCCCAAGCCGAAGTGGATGACATGCTCGATGATGAAGACTCCGATGATGATATAGTGATTATGCCTTACGTTCGTGGTGATGGCCATGAGTGCGGTCCTGACTGGTGATCATGATGAGATGGTGGTTATGATGGTGATTGGTGGTTATGATGGTGATCATGCTGATGATGACGGCGTTTGTTGATGAAGCTGTGGCTTGCAGGCATGGGCATGGTGATGGAGGTGGTGGTGTGGCTGGGTCCGTTTGACTTTTGCAAGGTCTTCCGAGCCCAACACGCCCCAACCCTGTGGAGCAGTCCATTCTGTGACGCTACGCTTCGATCCAAGCACAATGGACGCTGGGACCTGCACAGCTGTTTCTAGGGGTTTAGGGGTGGTCGTAGGGGTTTTCGTGAGGGTTTAGACTCAGTTTAGACGGTGTATTTCATGTTGAGATGTAGGGCTGATGCAGTTTATCAGGGCTAGGGGCCCTGCGTCTGCGGCCTAGGGAATTTAGGGTGGGCCTAGGGTTTGGGGTTTAGGGTGAAGCCTACATTCATGGACTTCCGCGGCGTGCGATTCGATGACTTCGACGCAGTTTCCAGGATGTTCGGTCATCAGGGTTTGGTTTGGTTTGGTTCCTGATGGGAGGTTACATCATCGTTTGAGCCCTCCAAGAGCAGGTCTTCGAAAATAGCTGCTTATCAATAAACAGTTGTTGTCGGAGGCTTTCATGATTAAAGCTAGCGTCTTCCAGCTAGCCGGGGTCCCAATTCAAGGCATGCGTACTGTTTTGGCATATGATTCCGGAGAGTTAACTCTCAGCCCCAAAGCCTCTGAAGCCCTTGAAGAACAGGAAAGTCATGGAACACCTGCCGAACGAATTGTTGAACTTCTGCGGAAAGCGGGAATGAAGTAGTACTCGGTGTCTTGAAACCCTAAACCCTGCAAGCCCCAACCATTTGAGGTCTCCAGGACCTTTTTCGTGGCTTTGGGGGAGTCCAGGGTTTTTTGCATTTTAGCGGACGTGCCTTTCAGGAGGTGTCGGACATCTCCCTCTCAGTCAAGCCGAAAGGCAACAGGCTCCGAGCAGTCGTTTCGGGTTGATGAAGGTTTAGGGTTTAGGGGTTTCGGGTTTAGGGTTTGGGGTTTAGGGTTTAGGGAAGTGGAACTCCAAGTCCAGAACCGGGGGGAGGCTTTGTAATGGCAATGTGCAACCAATCGCAGCAAGTGTTGAAAAAACCCAAACCCTGAGCCCCAAACCTTAAACCCTAAACCCAGAACCCCTAAACCCCAGAACCCCTAAACCCAGAACCCCTACGTTTCTTGCCCTACGCAGCCGAAGCTGCTGTACATCCCAGAGAGCCCCAAAGCAGACCCAAAGAGCAAAGCCCGAAGCATGAGGCTTGAGAAAGGCCAGCAGTTAAGGGTCTAAGATAGGGGCCTTAATAATTAGGGTTTAGGGGTTTAGGGTGTAGGGGCTTAATAATTAGAATAGGGTTTGGGTATATTATACTATATTATTGTAAGGCCCCTACATTAGCTGGCTCTAAACTCAATCCCCGTAAACCCAATAAAGGCCCCTGCGCAAACCCTCCAACCATGCCAAGTTCGTGAAAGCCTGACCCCTCAAAACACCCCACCCCCACGAATAAATACCACAAATATCGTAACCCATCAAACTGAACCTCCACAAAAACTCCGCAATTCCAAAACAGTTGAACACACAAAAATCAACGCTCCGGAAGCCAGGTCTAACCGAGGGCGGCGAGTGGGCCTCCGCGAGTGCATTGTTCCAGGTCAGCTTATGGGTCACAAGAATTTTGTATTCTATTATTCAAGCCACCCTACCACGCTTCACCTACCACCCGGACCCCTACTACCAACCAGCCCATGCCCCAACTAGGGAAGCGGGTGATAAGGGGGGAGTACTGTGGTAGGGGTGGTGTGGTGGTTGGGGGTTGTAGTGGGGTAGCATAAAATATTCGTTCAGGAACGAAAAATCAGCATGTGCTAAAGGCCTACCTGTAAGTTTGCTAATTGGCCATGTATCTCGAGGGAACCCTCGTGTGGAAGGGCAGCAGCGTGCGGTGGCCAGGTAAAAGCGTGGAGGTTGGATTTAGGTAAGAGCTTTTCTTTGCGGGCTTTTGGCTGCTGATACAGGATAGGGAAGATGCGGGAACATCAGCAGGCTTTGTTGCCAGCGATACAGCATAGTGAAGATGAGGGTAGGTGAGAAGCAGGACTCAGATTGAACTTTTGGCTTGACAGCAGTGTTTTACAACAAAGCTTATAGACCTTACATCTCGCTATGCATTGCTGGAGGTGTCGACGACATGTCTGCAAGGTAGGTTTCTCTTGGTGCAGTGAAGGTTTGTTCGTGGCCGGCAGGAAATATGTGCGTGCGACATCACGCACCGGCACTATCCCCAATGTATTTGTAGGGTAGTTTGTTGTAGCAGGCGTTGGGGTGGTGATAGTGGCGGCGGTGGCGCTTCTGCTGCTGCTGCCGCTGGTGCTCGTGCTGGTGGCGGTGGAAGTCGTGCATCGATAGTCATGATGGTGAAAGCGATGGCAGAGGCTCGGTAACGTTGACGGTAGTCGTGGCGGCGGCGGTGATGATTATCATGTTCGTGGTGATGATACAGATGCTGATGCTGAAATGCTGTACCACGCCTCATTGCTGATTCGGGTCGACGATGATTCATTGGCCAGGTGTCTGGAATGACGTTAACGACTGGATCACAAAGCATCTCGGTCTGTGATGGTACCGTTGCATCGAGCACTGTCTCAGTCCCCAGTTATTCGCAAGCCCTGGAGACCACAAACAGATGAGGCAGCGTAGTGCAGATTGAGCGACATAGCCTAATTGTGATAAAAGACCGAGGCCGCATGTAACGTTCATTTGTTCATGCTACTCCTAATAACTTGATTGTTAGACACTCCTCAGTGAAGGGCCAAGCAGCTTAGATCCTAAACCCTACAACCCTAAACCGTGCCCGACAGTCCCTAGCCACCGAATCACGAAAAAGGGGGTGCCCTATTATGTAGGTGTCCTGCATATCGATGCTCCTACTCTTAGGGAACTCGGGGTTTTTCCATATGAGCCAAAACCATGCCCAGGTCACTTTCGGACGGAACGTCTCAGGCGCCAGCGATTGTGCCTCGGCATTGCATCTCCGGTGTCCTTGGCAAACTCAAACCCTAAATCTTGGACCTTAGGGTTCAGGGTTTAGGGTTTAGGGACCTGTTGAACACTAGAACGCTCGACCCTTACCATGGCTTTCTGGTTGCCCTGGCGCTGGCCACTTAGTCTTTCGATCATCAGAAGAAACCCATGAGGGAGTATCCGAAAATTAAGGGCTACCTTATTTTGGGGTCCTTACAATAAGGATCCTACTATTTAGGGTACTATATATTAGGGTCCCCTATTTTCGGAAACCTCCATGAAGGTCCACGAACTCCAATGCTGTTTTGGGCAGGGCTCCTCAAGCCTCGAGCCAAAGGTCCTAAGACACAAGACTAGAAAATGCACAAAAAGGGCTTTAGGGTTCTTCATCCCGAAATGAACGAAACCGGTAGAGTAAATACCCTAAGAGGAACGCCTCTCCAAGCAATATAGGAGCCTAAATAATTGCCAATACCATTTTTGTTTTTTTTGGGGGGTCCTGATTATAGCTATGGTATAATATACCCCAAAACCCTATTCTAATAATTAACGCCCCTATATTATGAAGGTGCCCTTCGCCTTTCCAAAGATGGCCACAGAGGTCATGGCTGCGAGGCCTATGCGGGGGTTCAGGGTCTAGAAGCTTAGAGATGTCTGGTCGAGTAAGTAAAGTAGGAGCCTAAGCAATTATCAAGACTATTTTGCGGGTTCCTTACTAGAATTCTAGTATCATATACCCCAAAACCCTATTCTGATTATAAGGCCCCTACATTACGTGAAGGCTTTCGGGTGGTATGTTTGTGGCTTGTGGAAAACGCTGCCCGGCATGTCAACGGACCTGTCAGGACTCGAATCCTCCACGGCATCTGCTTTGGGGGCTTCATGACGGGGTTGAGGGTTTTAGGGTTCAGGGTCTTAAGGGTCTCGAACCAGTCAAAAACACCCTCACAATTCGGAAAAGCGCCAGGCGATCTGAGCTGAAATGGGTTCGAAGTCCTGGACATGGGAAGGACTGCCAATATGCCTTTTCGGGAGCCCGTTGGAGCAATTGGCAGCGAAAACTCCCAAGCTTATCATCCGAGAGGGCAGGCATCTCGGCCTCATGAAGCTCCTTCAAGAGCCCGACAAGCAAGAGCATTTGCAGCATCATGCACGTGCTTGGCATGGCAGATCTTGGGGTATCGTCTCATTGGTCATCGAGTGTGACACATAGAGCACCATAAACACCAGCCGTGCTGCAACTAGGGCTGCAACAATGCTGCATCCAATACTCACCTTCAGCAAGATAAGTGGTATTTTGTTGTGATAGATGGTGGTTGCGGTTGTGGTGTGCTTTTGCCGGTAATACGGACGGTAGTAGTCGTTGACGAAGTCTCGCTTGTGCTGGGATTGGTGGGAGGACGAGCAGGGCCAGGAGATGCCACAAGTAGAGTGTACCAAGTACGGCTCAGAATGAACTCTCACATTTTGGAGCCAAAGTGCAGGAGATCATGCTGACTCTATGCGACATCCGCATACGAAGATTTCGTGAAAGATCCTCGGCTGTCAACGGTCCGGGCTGGGGATTCTGTTTTGGGCAAAGCAGGCTGTCCCATATTGAGTGTTCGGAAAATGCGAAGCACCCAGACCATTTAAAGACAAGAGTAGGAAAATGCAAACGTGTCGAATACTGCGAAGAGCTTCCCTGTTGGCGCTTGCTATTGAAGACTGACGATTGCAGGTTGGCAGTTGCATGTGTAGTGCAGCCCTTAACACATCAGCTGAGACCTGAACGCCAAACCAAGGAGCTAAGAGCACTAAGGGATGCAAAGAAGTTAATTATTCTTCACCAGCAGTGAATCCAAATGCAAAGAACCCAGCACTTGGCCCGGTCTCACCGCTCTTCAACGGATCAGACGTGGTGAAATCCTGAACCCCCAAAACCCACCGAGCTTTCTGGGGACCTAGTCTTCCTTGCTTTTCTGTTTACATGTAATGCTGCAGAGTGGCTTGGTGTATGCCCGTATACGCTCTGTGGCGATAAACCATGATTTTTTGTGTCTTCCCCGTGTAAATGCACGGGTTCGCAGAAACCTTGAACGCATTCATCCGTTTATCAGGTACTCGTTAGTGCAATTGGTGTATACTGTCAGTATGCAAGCAAGGTGAGATGAAGGTTCATCAGCACGTCAAGTCTCGAGCGGCTTCTACTCCACCCCTGCTATCATGGGCAGCAACGAGTCAGAGCGCAATGTATGCCGTGTGTTTATATTTCGTGTCCAGCGTACTTTGAGTATGTTGTTGCTGTTGTCTGAAAATACCAAGTCCTAGCTTGCTATATTGTAATATGGACATACCTGTGAATAGGTCTATACTGTGGTTTATTTTTGATACTATCTGTGCTGTTCCCAACCTTTGCTGACTTTCTTGTCGAATCAGCCAGTCTACAGCCCATATGTTTCAGGACAGCAAGGAAGCATTATTCGCGCCGTTGGCCGCGGAACTAGTTCCGCAACTCGGCTCAGTTCCTCCTGATACAAATTTGACGGCAATTCTTCGAGGTCTCTTTGGCAGTTAACTGAGTATTATAGGGGCCTTAATGATTAGAATAGGGTTTTGGGGCCCTTATACTATACTTATATTAAGGAACCCCCCAAAATAGTGTAGGCAATTATTAAGGCCCCTACATTAGGCTTGGCCAGGATCCTAAACCCCATGAACCCCGCTTGTGAATTCTAGGCGAGGCCACTGCAATCATGCCAATACCTGGTTCAATACCTGTCCTAGTTCTTCGTTCGAACATCCTCCAGGTCCGACACGGACGTAGGCTCGGAGATCGGACCTTCACACGCACACGGATCTTATGCATACGGATACCATTCACAGCGCAGTCAGTGCGTTGTCATCATGATCAAGGCTCCAGCTATGCGCATTGCAAGCAGTTCAAGCGCAGGCAACAACTCCCTACTTCTATGGTCAATGCTACGATCGCTACTGTCTTCAGGATCACTTCCAAGAGACGCAGCATCATCAACATTATGTGGTTCACTAAAACTTCATTCTTTCTGAAGTGCAGAAATCTTTCATTGCAGCTTGGAGTTATTTCGTGCTTTAGGCCAGTCGTCTGGTCTTTCTAATTTTGGTTTCTGAGGATGCAGGCGCATGTCATGATAATGATCGTGACCATGGCGATCGCGCTTTCCATGATCTGATGATAAGAGCAGGAGCAGGACATTGATGAGACTATGAAGCGACGAGAGGATGATTGTCATGCACATGTTGATGAAGATGAGGATGAAGACGAAGAAGAAGATGATGATGATGACGATGTGATGACGATGATGATGACGACTGTGAGGACGATGCTGACCATGATGGTGGTGAAAACGATGATGCTGCTGATGATGATGATGCTCACGAAAACGAACATGGTTACAGGCTCGAAGTAGGAGTCAGTGGTGTTGTTGGTGCAGGTGGAGGTGCTGGTGGAGGTGTTGTTGTTGTTGTTGTTGTTGTTGTTGTTGTTGGTCTTGTTGTTGTTATTGTTGTTGTTCTTGTTGTTGTTCTTGTTGTTGTTGTTGTTGGTGGTGGTGGTGGTGGTGGTGGTGGTGGTGTCGTGAAGAAGAACAAGAAACGAACTATGAATCAGCCTATGCATGTAGTGATAGCGGTCATGGTGGTGATGATGATGATGATGATGTCGATGATGATGATGATGATGACGATGACGGTGGTGATGATGGTGATGATGATCATGATGATGATGATGCTGGTGGTGGTGATGACGATCATCATGGATATGGATGCAAGGACAAAAGACGAATAGCATCTTCGTGCGTACGTACACCAGTGATGGTGACGAACCTGCTTATGATGCTAGCGATGATTCGATGCTAGTGCTGGTGGTCATGAGCGACGAAGATTCTTCCGAAGATTGCGGAATTTTTTGTTGTGAGAGAGCCTGTGAGCAGCTCCAAGGCGATCAGTCGAGAGAGCTTCGGCAGCGATGCAAGGGCACCTCGGCTTGATATCGGCCCAGCACATGAAACGTTCTGGATATGTTGCTTCCACTGTCGCACTTGCTGGGGGTGTTGGACGAGCGAGCAAAGGTACACGATGATGAAGAGAAGCAATTGATACGTCCTTGGGCTCCTCCCAAATCCATGCGACGCATGTAGGCCAGTGGCTAGCGGTCATCGGCTGCTCTGGCAGGGTTTGTGGCTTTTGATTAGTGGTCGGAAGCTCTGCTCCGCATTCGACAGTCGCTAGCCTAAGCCTGCGGAGCCTGGTCCAGAAATGCTGCAGCATCCCTGGTGCATAGTCTGGGGGGTCGAAATAATGACTTGTATTGCTACAGTTCCTTAGTTCCTTCATATAGAAAGAGGATTATACCCCAAAGCAATAGGAATGTACCCCCAAGCCCTGTACCACTGAAGGTTGAGGAATTGAGGAGTTTCGGTCCGATAAGCAGCTGATGTCCTAGGATGCTTTTCCACAGCATTATTTTGGCTAGATACGCCCCACTACGCTGTCGCATAACTGTGACTATATTCCTTCATGTCTCGGTAGGGTTGGCTTGCATGACTTTCACTACGGCTCAGGCAGAGTGCCAACAAAGGTTCTGAGGTTCTTATGACAGGCTCTGGCCCGGTTGGGGTGGGTGAGGGCACTCACATCGCAAAGGGGATGGTGTCATTTGCAGCTTCTTGCACTCGGTTCCTCAATCTCAATGATATACGTTTACGCTGCCATCCCTCGCCCCAGGTCACCGGGAGGGGAGTGAGCCTGGCCCCCCAAACCCGAAACCTCAAATCGCAGTCTCTGAAGCCACAGCCAAGCCCTGTCATTTTTTCGAAGGGCAGATGCGGAAGTGCCGTGTTGGCGCATGCCATGGAGCTCCCCAGTCCCTGTCGGCGCGTAGCCCCTGCCTCTTACCTCGACAAAGGTGCCAAAGGTTCGAAGAAGTTCGGGGCATGGGTGTCTCCACGTCACCACCACCTTCGTAGAAAATTTCCATAGTAACAATATTGCCCAACATTCTAAAACAAAGCAGTAGTAGCAGCACCACGTGTGCGACCAGCACCAGCGCTTGCACAAGTGCTAGCACGAGCAGCAGCAGCAAGAAAATCGAACGCCGGCGCAGTCGTCACGACGATCGCAAGAACTGTCAAGTTGTGCCATAACCGTCTAAGTGTTCTGTCTTCGGCACCGGTTCGGCAACCGCCGAACCAAATGCGAGAGGCAGGGGGTAACGTCCGACCAAACTTGAGGATCACTCAGCTTGAGGAAGTTCCTACGCTCATAGTTCTAAAGATTCCAGCTGCTGCCCAGCGACCGCGGAAAGCTATGTGGTCTTACCTCAGGGCCCTGACTCTCGAACTCAGAAAGCCCTAAACACTAAGCCCTCGTCTTTGGGCAGACCTAACTGCGGTGACAAGTCAGATGTTTTGATTCCGAGCAGAGAGTGAGGTTGGGTCTCCTCCTATTGGGAGTTAGAGAGTTCAAGGACCCTTATCTGGGGGCCCTCGATACTGCACTGTAGTTCAGGTCTTTGGTCCCTTTTATGGCTTTTCGATGATAAACAGCCCGAAATCGTAGGATCCATGTCACAAGGAGCCGTACGAAGGAGCCCAAATCTCAGTGAGCCCCACTTCTAGTCGACGTTGAAAGCCCTGAGACTGGGGCTTCGGGTCCCGGACCAGGAAAGCGATCCTCAAGCGAGCTTCCAAGCTTTTCCTGTAGTGGTGCCAAGACTTGCCATGGACTTCTGCTCTGACCTAAAGCTTAAGTGAGGGTTTGGCGAAGACTTCTACTATATTGCTTGTGTTTGTAGAGAAATGAAGTGATTGCTTGTTGGTGGTCGCGCATGTTCCAAGTGTAGTTCAGGTTTCTGGGGCTAATTATTCCGTTTCGACATTCTCGCTGTCTCTCTTTGCCTCCCTGCCTCGATCAGGACCCCTGTCAAACATCAAGAGGGACAGTTTGCTCAGCTTCCATGGCCAGCTTTGGCCAGGTGGCCAGGGTCAATCCTCTTCATCCATATCGCAACGCAGGCAAGCATAGTATTTTTCAAGCAAAAGCGATTAGATCTCTGGCTCCCAATTCTCCCTGAGCCTGAGACTCAGCTCTCTTCGAGAGGCCAAGTTTGAGAAGTGTTTCAAAGACATGAGCCAATTATCGCATTTTTTGGGGACGAGCGTCTACATTCGTGGAGCGCCGGCGGTGTCACCAAAGTGGGCAGATCAGAAAATGCTGGCTGCCAAACCTGGCGATGCGGCGGTGAGGCAGGGAGGGGGGTCCTTCGATTGATGTAGCTTCCACATCAGGGCAGATCACAACATGCAAAAACAGTTCATGTCGGTTTTTACAGTACCTGTATATTCCACAGTACCTCGACACGTTCTAAGTGATCGAACGGGGTTGTTCTGTATGGTAGTTTGATGTAGCATTTTATTAAGACTAGACGGTTGCGGCTGTTTATCGTAGCAAGTTGAATACAGGGTCTCGATGTTTTTCGTTGTAATGATACACTGCAGTGTACCTTAGCATATGTGTTCTTCTGTGTTCGTGGGTGACTACTACTGGGTTGTAGCATGCAGGGCCGTTTGTCTCAAGCAGCAGGCATCATGTCTTGGATGTGCGGCTTTGTCAGCACAGAAAGCACAGAACAGCCGCAAATAAATCGTATCCCAAAGCACTGTCGTACATCTCGAGATTTTTGGCACATTGCGAGTGCCATTTGTGCAATACAATCGTTCGAAGTTGCAGTACATATTTTTTTTATCGCTCTAAGCAGTTCAGCATGCTGTTGCTGAGTTGTCGCTAGACCACATCATGCTACATCATATGCCAGACCACAGACTGCATTGAACCTTGACAGCTTGTTCACCTGCAGTTGCTACCTCGACCGTGTGGTCGACTTGCAGGCCGATACCCCGCACTTGCTCAGCTGCAGCAGCTCAAGTCGATGCTGCAGCCGTGCAAGTCCTCACCATTTGCATAGCCAGATCCGCATGCGCAGAAAGTGTAGCTGGCAGCAATGTGCGCTGTGCGTTTCGCTGGTTTTTGCACTATCGTAGCAGGGAGACTGAGACTGCGATCTGGACAATTGCAGCTGCATGAGCTTGTGTACTTCCGCACCTGACAAGGGCTGACATGACGCACATGCGGCATGCTTGCGCAGCTTCTTCCCGTTTCACAATCCTCCGCCGTCTCAGCGCAGACAAACCTCAAACAATGGGGACAGAGCATGTGCTTCTAGGTTCAGGCTGCCATGCAAGCGAGATGTCCCGGTTACGTGTCTGATGTCTTCTTATAATTCCTATGATCTTCTTGAGACACCACAACACTTGTTTCGGGTGTCTCTTGCCAAACCACGGCACAGAAGAGTCATGTCTCTGATTGGTATCATAACATGGCAATCAGTCATTAAGTTGTGCCGGAATGCTACATGACCAAGACTTTGAGGGAACACGCCGCCAAGCTGACTTTGAGCAGTCAATGCATCACCAGAAAAGCTACGTGTGTCTAGCGAAGGGTATGGCCGCAACATGAGCAACAAGTAGCCAGCTTGCCTGCCCTATCGCCGCATTACGAACCACGCAGCAATCACAACCACAACAACAAGAACGACAACAACGACAACCGCAACGACAGCGACAGCGACAGCGACAGCGACAACGACAACGACAACAGCATCAGCAACAACAACGACAACAACAACAGCAGCAGCAGCATCAGCAGCATCAGCAGCAGCAGTAGCAACAGCAGCAGCAGTAGCAACAGCAGCAGCAGCAGCAGTAGCAACAGCAGCAGCAGCAGCAGCAGCAACAACAACAACAACAACATTCACAACCACAACCACAACCACAACCACAACCACAACCACAACCACAACCACAACCACACCAACCACAACGACAGCGACAGCGAACACGGTATCAGCATGAGCCAATCTAGGTTGAAGGGCAAAGTACCAAGAACACAACACACGGCCTTCGGCAGCAACAATGGCCGCCTGAGGAGGAGCCGAAGATGAAATTTTGTTGATGCAAGCAGACACAGGCACAGGACTGCTGGCAGCTCAGCCTGGAAGGCAACTGAAGCCCCTGAAAGGGAAGCTTGCGCCTATGGATTCCACAGAAGGGTAGTTCTCTAAATTAGGGTCCATTTTAGGGTTCCTTTTATAAGGGTGCCGTACTATATTGAGGGACCCTGAATTAAAGAACTACCCACAAGATGATGTAGAGATTCGGAAGTTTAAGACTCAGGGTTTGTGTAGGCCTACCTGTTTCTCCTGATGGCAATGGAACGTGCTCGTGGGCTCTCAGTTGGGCACCAGCCGGGACGGTTCTGTGGATCCTCCAGCGCAATGACACTTGACGGGGATTTTCCTGCGGGGTCGAACCACCCGCAATCACCCGCATATCAATACAGCTTTGTACCACCTACTCCCATCGCGGAACTGGAGCATACGCCAGTTGCAAAAAAAAGCATGCAGCCCAGGTGGTTCAAGCGGGTGCTTTCATGCTTTTCATATCATTGCTTGTGCCCATGCCGAGGCAAACAGGTAGCTTAGAGAGCATGACACACACTTGTGTCTAGAGGTGATGCTACTGCTGTGGCTTTGCATTTTGCGCCACCTGTTCCACGACATGGCTCAAAGAGGTAATCAAGCCAGAACTGTGCAAGTCCTGCTTCTGGATGAGCTGAAGGCCATTACAGACCTGTCAACGTGCTCTGCACGGAGTGCGAGTCCGCGATGCTTGCCTATTCAAATCGCTTATGATAAACGATGTATAAAAACTCAGGCCAACAAATACATTCGGATGCCAGCTTTTCGTTCAGCCGTGCAGTTACTGACTAATGAGACGAAGGTAAGCGACCAGGCACTGCCTTGACTCAGCCCGGCACCATGATGATGGCATTTGCAAAATTTGGTGCCACTCCTGGTCTTACACAAAGTACTCCTACTCCCGCTACTGCTACGCCTACTGCTACTGCTGCTGGTTCTGCTACAGCCTGCTACAGCCTGCTGCGACTACTACTACTACTACTACTACTACTACTACTACTACTACTACTTCTACTTCTACTTCTACTTCTACTTCTACTTCTACTACTTCTACTACTCCTACTGCTACTGCTACTATCACGAGTACTAGTACCAGTACTAGTACCAGGGTCCATCGCCCTCGTTTGCCCCAGTTTGCTTGCTAACAATGTGCGAAAAGCACGGCAGGATCGGCACTTTCGGCTCTTAGCATGGCTTAACATGGCGTCCAAATTATGATGATATGCGGAACCAAAAACGCCAAAAACCCGATGTTTCTGCGCGGCCGGGTTTGTGATTTTGAGGACTGAACTGTATCGGCTTGACT